TCCAATCCAAGCGCCGCCCGCGCGCCCCTGCTCCGACCCAATGGCGTGGGGCGCGCCCGCGCGGGCGCAGTCGTCGCGGGTGCAGGCGCTCTACGACCTCTGCAGGCGCACCTTCCCCTCCCCCTCCTCCGCCGCGTCCCCGCCCGCCCCTCCGCCGGCCAGCGCCGTCCGGGCCATATCCTCCCTCATGGGTAACCCCCTCTCCTCCTCCTCCTCCTCCCCTTCTCCATCTGCCTAGCCATGGCCGCCCTGTCCATCTATGCTCGCCTAGTCTCTGCCTCTCAATGTGCGCGGTCGGTTATGTGCAGACACCATCAGCCCCGCGGACGTCGGGCTCAGGGACGACAGCCTCGGGGACGGCGGCGGCGGGCACGGGTTCTTCGACTCCACCTTCGTCAAGGGCGCGGCCAGGGCGGCCAGGTGGGCGCAGCCCATCACCTACCTGCACGTCTACGAGTGCGACGCCTTCTCTGTAAGCTCCCTTGCTTATCCTGTCGCCGCAATCACCACTTGACCGATGTAATTTGCTGCATACATCCATATATGCTGACAATCATCGAATTGCCGACGAGACCGTAGTGTTGATTATGACCTCATTGCTGTTAAGAACATCGAGCTTGTTCTAGATTTGTAGTATGCTCCTGGTTACATTTCCAATCGAAAATATTTTGTCCCCACTATCCCTTTGTAATAGTCAAAGTACATATCCACTTTGGTGTTCCTCTGTACTAGTTTATAAGCCATCTTTATTTGTTCAGGTTCGCAACCTACAATTTACTTGTGTAATAAGTGGCCATGTTTACCATTGTCACTCCTCCATCAGATTTGAAAATCTGTCTTATCTTTTGAACGAACTTATAATTTCATATTGTAGTTTCTTCCACATTTTTAATTTTTGCTTGATTACAACTCTTTTAGTAGCAATACTAGAGGGCACTTGCTAGTTATAGCTTGTATAGGCCATTTAACATTTGTGTGTGTGTGTGTTTTCTATGTGTTTTTGCAGATTGGAATATTCTGCTTGCCAACTTCAGCCGTCATTCCTCTCCATGATCATCCAGGAATGACTGTATTGAGCAAAATCCTGTATGGTTCGATGCATGTGAAATCATATGACTGGGTAGAGCCTACTGTTCTAGCGAGTAATCGACAAGGTTAACTTTTGCTCTACTTCAAGTTGAAATATTTGTTTTGCTTATTTCATTCCTTATCAGTTATAAATACTGCATGCAGAGTCTGTGTTCGGTCCTTATTTCTTACAGTATAATATTTCTTCTGCTTGGTTTCCACTTCCAAGCAGCGAACTAATGAACACTGTGAGCTGTGTCGTAGTACCAATGGTCCAATACTACTGCACTTCGTCACCTGAATCTGTTGGTTCTTTTTGATCGGCTTTTTTTATGGGCTGACATATTTTAGTTACGGCTTACAGTTGTTCAAATCATTTTAGTGGTTGTTTCCACGTGTTCATCATATTTCAAAGTCAGATCTTCAAAAGGTGTATTGCTAGCCTGAAATATTTAATGTGTTTATTGCTCATATGCAGTGAAGCTGGCCAAGTTACATGCAGATGATGTTCTTACTGCTCCATGTCCAACTACCGTTTTGTATCCCCAAAGTGGCGGGAACCTACACTCCTTCACTTCAGTTGCCTCTTGTGCTGTTCTTGATGTACTTGCCCCACCATACGCTGAAGATGCTGGTCGAATTTGCACCTATTTTAATGATTATCCGTTTTCTAGCTTCTGTAAGTGAAACTCCTCCTTTTCATTATAGCGCATGTTTGTTTTCATGGTGAGCTCATTGCTAATTCCTTAACTAAATTCACTCTTTGGTAGTAGCTACGCATCATCCATGAGAGATATTTATTTCTGGAAGCATATATTATTTGTTAATGTGCCTTTTAGTTTGATGATCCTAGAAATAATAATTGCCTCGTAAATCTTGTCAATGAGAAGGCGGGAACCGTGGTTTAGGGAAACAATGCAACTGATTGATTTGGTCACACTCTTGCCCATGAAAGTACCAGTGTAGGTGTGAGATCACTCTTGGTTTTCTAGGAGTGAAGGTATTTATGATGTATGTAAGTGATGTTACAGGATGGCAGCAACCGATCAGTTGATTTCACTTTGAATTGGAGACTGGATGTAGCAAACACCAGTATGGTGGCTCATTTGTACAAACTCTCTAATGGTATTGTGATGTGTATTTGGAGCATTTAAATGACCCTGGACATCGAAACATGGCCCTTGCTCCTTCTTTAGGATCCAAGGAGATATCCATTGCTTCCTCTTCTTACGGTGCTTCCGTGCTATCTACATGTAAAACTATATACAAAAGATTATATAAAGTCTGATTTTATTTTTGTAATGTTGATGCAAGATGCATCTACCATGCCTCAAAAATTTATATGAAAACTCAGTTCTTAGATAAAGAGACAAAAAAAAAGGAAAATTAGACAGTGAATAGTACCAAACATATACTGTCCACAACAAAATTGAGTCGTGTACTATGCAGTCAGATTTGTCTTTTTTGTTTCTCGAGTTGTAAATCGAATTTGATCTTGATATTTTGAGTCATGGAAGATGTGTATTGTATCAAGGTTTTCAACAAAAATCGTTTTTCATAGTTTCTAGATTCAGTTTTTTTTTTGGCTTAAGTAGCACAGAAACACCCTAAGAGGAGCACCAAACATATCCATTCTAGGGTCATTAGCAAATTCAACAGCCTACTATTTCCAGAAGTGGCTCTCGGTATGGGTATGCACATGGCATGGAGGACATATAGATCTACAGGACCATACGTTACCCTTCGGTGTGAGCAAGATTGCCAACTTTGGTGGTTAGGTAAGGTCTGCTCATGCCAAGCATGGCATACCTGCCACACTATTGCCTCGGATTCTATTGCCTCAGATGGGTGGCAGGTCAAGATTTAGCCTGTTACCTATAGTAGCAAGCTGAGGTATATCGACTATAATTTGCTAAAACATGTTGGTTTTGCCGTTTAGTGCCATAACTCATAGGTTTGGTGATTTAGGTGCTTCAACCAACATTCTTTTATGTTCTGTTTGTTCATTCTCAATTTGAGAAACTATCCGAATGTAGTATCCTAACATCGTAGAGCTGTTGACGGTTTTTCATCTTGTCTGGATACTCTTAATTTCCAGTCTGCTCTCGCATCTTCTAGCTTCTCATGATTTCGTGTGATGCACAAACTGCAGCCAGTGGCCGCGCAAAGACAGTCGATAGCCCAGATAACTATGCCTGGATTGAAGCCATAAACTCACCTGTGTACATTAACATGCGCCCTGGCATGTATACTGGCCCAACTGTACAGGTATCCCCTAACTTTACCTGCTGTATTCCTCTTTATCAGTCTTGGTCATTGCTAAAAAAGATGCGTTTGCACTTTCCAGGACCGCCTATCATAACCGATGAACCGAGGAGCATCAAGCAGTGTGTCCGGGCAGCGAGGCACCAATACAGTTCTTCCAAATTCCAATGTAGTGTTGTAGATGTACCGTAACCTGTTACTCCCTCCGTCCCAAAGCTAGTACAAAGTTGAGTCACTTATTTTGGGACGGAGGGAGTACTTTTTATTTTAGATTGTATGCTAGATGGATGGCTACAGTGAATATACAGTTAGAACTTTCTCATGCTCCGTTTAGTGGAGGAGTCCACATTCTGTGACCTGATCTTGTCATGATTCTGTTTTTGCGGCCCCATGGTATATCTGTGTTGGTCTGGTCTAAGTTTGGGTCTAGGATAGTGAATGCTGATATATTCAAAATTCCATGCAAAAATCAGTTGAAAAGGCATTCGGCCACTGTTATCGAAGTACCGATGAATATGCATGAACAATGACATTCTTATATTCCACCTTGCATTTACGCTGTTCGTTCATCATGCGCGATTCGATGATTCCACGTGCATCAGGTGTTCCTAGCTAATCTCCAATTAGGATGTCACAGTAATACGAAGAAGAAAGGGTGCAGAGCAATCATTATATCAATATAAACATATCGTGTTAATCAGGAACCAGATTGAGCAGACAGAGGTTAGATACTTGCCACACCGCACTAACTTAGAACAAAAACAATGGAGAGCAGAAGGCTAAGGTCGTCAGGGAGGGTGCTGCGCCTCCAGCTTCCTGATAATGGAGTTGGTCACGCCCCAGCTGAACCCTCTGTACTGAAGCCACCTCACGATGCGCGCACGCCGCTTCTCCAGGGGCAAGCTGCTCCCTCGCACCCACTGCTTCGCGGCCTGAACCAAGAGATGATCCATGGAAGCTTCTGAGAGGCCATGTGAGGCCTGGTCTTCGTCACCACGGTCGTCCTGGAACACGCTCCTCGTCGCCTGGTCCACTTCGGCATCTGGCACCCCTTTCTGGCGAAGCGCCTGATTGGTATCAAAATAAACATGAGATACTTGACGAATGATCGCAGCATCTCCATGAAATCAAGCACAAAATTAACGTCAATGAGAATCCGTGTTTCGACTGCTACACAACACATATACACGTAACCGAACAAATTTTCTTCTCAGAAGACTTCTGCGATATTAATAGTCAGTTTGCCATATGGTATATTATTCTACGAGACTTGCAGGAAAACAAAAAGACTACAAGAACAAGTCAATGCAAGGCTGAGGTGCAGCAGTTGACATTTACTAATTACCAGATGACAGAGAATGATTCTTAGAGGGTTTATACACACATGTTAACTCATTACAAAAACTTCTGACCAACTATAGGGAGAACACTATCTTATCTTAGAAACAGAAGTATTATTAAGTTTAGAATAATCAATGTAATTGCCTTCACAATCTGCCATTTAATTCATGTTTTTTTTGGCATAGGAAAAATCTCCATGATTTTGGCCACTTTATTGTCTAGCTATCTGCCAATGATTAAATGATGGAACAAGAAATATGTGTGCCGCAGATAAAAAATACTGCAAAATGGATGATTGGCTAATAAAGATAAAGACATGAGATAGCGCAAGAACGACAAAGAGCAAGATAACAGAGAGTGAAGATAATATGAGATCTGAAGTTTATGGTTTTCGTATAATAGTCAGCCGAAGAACCACACTCTATGCATGCCGCGAAGGTTTGTTAGGTGTTTGTTCCTTGCAAGCCGCACCCAGTAGAGCATCAATAGTCATTGGTTGCCTTGCGCCAAGCATATAGCCTTGGCATTGGCCAAGGTTGGACACATCATGATTAGATGGACGCCGCCACCCCGGCGATGTGGGTGAGGAGCATAAGTGGCGACACAATTGGGGCGCCGTGTTGAAATAGAGTATGTGGACCTATTTGTGTGGAGGTGGTGTTATGGGGGAGTCTTGAGCCATGCTTTTTTGGTAGGGGCATGTAATATATATATTTTTCTCCCGTTGCAACGCACGGGTATATTTGCTAGTTATTCTAAGAGAGTTGCAGGAAAACAAAAAGACTATGAGAACAAGTCAATGCAAGGCTGAGGTGCAGCAGTTCACATTACCGATTACCGGATGACAGAGAATGACTCTTGGAGGGTTTATACTTTATAGTTTATACACACATGTTAACTCATTACAAAGGACTTGGGAATCAAAAAAATCAAGGATGGGACGCCAAATGTTTCATTTGAGAGAAGAAAGAAGAAAACAGTACCTGCTTTATACGCCTTGGACCCCAAGTTGATGATTGCCACCGGGATCGTGAAAATGATTCCGCATAATAACTGTCATTCAACAGACCCCTTCGGGGACAAAGAAACAAGATGTTGTAACACAGAAAACGCTACATGTGTTATTAATGCCAACTAGCAAAAAGTAATTGGATTATCGAAGCAATCCGGTTTTAGGATAAGAGACACATGTATCTGCAGTTATATGCTAGTTGATCCCACTATGATGGTGATCCAGTATATGCTCAGAAACATGTGCATGGGTGTTTATCAAATTTCCGTGCCAGGATATTAAACAGGAGTCTCACCTTGCCTTGAAATCAGCAATCACAGTATCGACTGTATCGACAGAATAATTCTTAGCACATAGTTTCTTCCTGAGCTCAGAAACACTGAATGCTCTGCTCAAGATAAACAAAAAGGCGTATTTCAGCGTCCAGTTTCAACACCGGTATATAAGCGCCAACCGTACAAGTGAATAATAGTGACCGCAATTCAAAGCACAAAATTTCCTTTAGACTCTGTGTGGTACTCGACAAATCGGCAAGTTGAAGAGATTAGGCAGCCTACTATTAGCATGCGATATCTTGCGGTACCGTGGCTTCCAGACCATGTTTTCCCAAAAGTAAAGGCTTTGCACTTCTAAGCAGCAAAATCCTGCTTTTATTTTTCTATCTACAACTGATTCTCCTCAGGTTTCCAACTATCTCGGTGTGCGAGATGAACACGCAAACTTCACAATGCTCACACTGCGACCTACCGCGTCGAATTCATGGGCAAACATCGCCTACCGAGCATTCACTAGATATGCAGCCAATGGCACATTGTTTCTATGAAGGTTTGCAGGGAGGTGGATATATATTCAGAACACGGTCTATGATCTGTCAGTCCTGACCTGACAGCAAGCAGCTCGATGGCGCTCTTCTTCGCATCCTTCACCACACTTTCGCTGATTCCACGCACTACGCCATCGCCTTCTCCCTCGTCCAACGAGAGCCGCAGGAACTGCTCGTCCGGAGCATTGCTCTTCGCTGTCAGGCAAAGAACCCAGAAGCAATGTCACACGTCTGAACTTTATTACACACAGCCTGACGAGCAAGACTAGGAATCTGCTGCGGCTCTCACCGGCGTACGCGCCCCCCTCGTCGGAGAAACCTCGCCGGCAGCTCACCAGCGGAGGCGCGCGCCGGACGCCGCCCGCCCGCCTCGCCCTGGGAGCAAACAAGCGTCTGAGGCCGGGTGACGCTCAATCGAAAGGGGAGGGGAGGTTCGAGGGGGAGGGGTTACCGGCCGGCGGAATAGGGGTTAAGGGCGCGGGAGCGCAGGCACGGCTCCGGCTCCGGCCGGAGCAGGAGGAGGAGGAGGCGGCGGCTCGCGGCCAGCGCCGCCATCCTCCGGCGGCTGGTGCCCTGACGGAGCCGCGCTGTGTCGGCGAGGATTGAGCCTCGGGGCCGTGTTTTTTTTCCTCCTTTCCGTAGGGTAGGGTCTGCTGGTACTCTGTCAGTACTTAGGGTTCATTTTGATTCGAAGGAATTTGACAGGAATTTGTAAGATTTGGATCCTCTGCAAATTTCCTATGGGCAGTGATCTGCGCCGGTGCGCCAATCCAACGATTTGGCCAGTCGCGCGCGGGCCGTCGGATCCAGTCGCTAGGTAAAAACGGTTCACCCAGCTCATTTCTTCCTCTCGCAGCACCCTTGTCTCCTCCCCACGTCTCGCGCACGGACCCCCCGCATCTCGCTCAGCTCGTCGGGGCGGGGGCCGCGCTCTCCTACTGCACGCCTCCCTCCAGGTCGCAACACCTCCCCTCCCCTCTTGCTCCATGCAAGTTCTCGTCGTCGGGATTCGCAGCAACCCCACACCAGCATCTTGTTCATGTGCTCGCCGTCGCACTTGAAATGGATGTAGCAAAAACTTCGCCGTCGCGGGTCGTTGGCAGCGTCAGTTGCTGCCCGCCGGCATGTGGAGTCGAAAACTCGCCGTGGTCACCATCGTAATGGTGGAAGCTTCTGCAAACGCCGGTTTCAAAGCATCAGTTGAATGACTATTCTGCTCCATTCGGAAATACGCAAAAGTATGTCCCTTATTTGAGATCTCTTAAGATCAGCTATTTGCTAATATGATAAAGGTGGACGATGTACTTGTCTGAAAACAGAAACTATGATGATTCACATTACTGGCTTGTTGTCCTTTGGCGGGAAATCTAACAGGTGAACTTGCTCAACATAAAGTGGAAGGAAAGTGTAGTAGAGATATTACTCGTTGTCTGAGAAGATCTACTTGAGACCTCTGAACCAACTTCATTCCACAGGAACGAAAGCTGAATGAAAGTACTCAAGCTTCAAACTCCTTGCTAACCGATAAAAGGAATCAAGCTTCAAGGACTATATGACTAGCTCTTCCACATCCTCGCCATCATTCATAAGGCTTTCAAGGAATATTGAGATATCTACAGAAAAGAGAAACAAACATTCTCAGTTGGTCCACTATTAGCGAGGCCTAAAGTCTTCACTTCATCAGTCTAGGAATAACACTAAAGTAGCACCCCTCACTACATTCTTGTTCACTGAACATAGATCTCTAAAGAACAGTGCACTGGTACACGATATGATCTGCCATCATGACCCATGAACTGAGCTTCTCACTAATCGAAATGGTCCTCTCAGCATGTTTCAAGGGAAGCAAGAGATCGTTTTCTCAGGATATTAGTCACCCAATCTTCCCAATAGTATTCCTTAACTCATGAATTGATACACATGTTCATTCTCTTTCTATTTCCACTGGTTTCTTTTGTTCACTTGCAATGCGGCATTTGAATCCATTTTACTCCACTTCTCCCTCTTTTCTTCCTGATGAGGGTGATGTACTCCGGGTACCTGATCATCATGACTGGAATTCCAGAGGATTCCTTGAGTACTCGTTACTTCGAGGTCAAATGGTGCGATGGTATTCATCCAAAATAGGAAACTGGTAGCGACTTGCATTTGATGGACTCTTCCTTCCTGTAGGAATAGGGGAGAGTGGTAACGTGAGCCACCTTTCCTTTATACAACAGCAATAGCACATGCAAGTTCCTAGGGTCCATATAGCTAGTCAAGGATCATAAAACAATTAGCAAATCATCATGTGGAATGATGTAAACTAGCCTTAAAAAGTGAAAGAAGCCCTCATACCCACTCCTCTTTCCCCACCAAACCAACAAGTAGTAGGTTGGTGGGCCTCGGTATCTCTGTTTGCTAAGATGGATACCTACACCACTCAATAGTTCCAATTCATTGTTTTTATCCCATAGGAAAGAAAATGCTTCCAGCAATTTTTTCCTTTCCTCCTCCGTCATACTTAGGTCTTCACAACCTTCCACCGGAGGCTTGTATCTGTTTTCCTCCTCCGTCATACTTAGGTCTTCACAACCTTCCACCGGAGGCTTGTATCTGTTTTCCTCCTCTTTAGCCATTACTTCTTTAATCATATCTTTGATCTTCTTTAGGGGCAATTTAAACATGTTCGCATCCCGTGGGAAGCGGAAAGCCAAAAAGAGAATTTCCTCCGGTTTAAGAACCGAAAGGAGTTTATCCAGATTTGGTACCAAACCCGGGAAAAACCCTAAATGTTGTCTTAAAAACGCTATATAAGCAGGGTTATAGGAATCAATAGATTCCCCTCCCTCCGCTTCGGAGGAGCAGCTTCTTCTATGGCTATGGCCAAAAGGAGAAAAGGATCCGGTGCGATGAGTCTCATCCGTGTAATATTTTGGAATTCCTCTTCCAACTCGTCCCGGAATGGGCGTTATGGCAAAGAACAAGAAGAAAAAGACAGAAGGAATTTGTCCAATAGTAACAAATGGTGCCTCCACAGGTTGACATCCGATCCAACCTAGTAGTAAGCAATCTGCCAAAAGCAACCAAAATATTCCTTGGTCAGTCGGTCGAAAACTTGAACTACGCACATACATTTCTTTTAAAAAAAGGTAAAGCCAAGAGAGATATAAAAACTGGTGCTATTGCGGCTACACCTCCCACTTTGTCAGGTATACTGTGAAGAATGGCATGGATCGGTAGGAAATACCATTCCGGCACAATATGAGGCGGGGTGGGCATCGGATTAGCAGGTATATAATTGTCGGGATGCCCCAAAACATTAGGAGCAAAAAAAATCCAAATGGAAAAAAGGATAGCAGAAGCTACCCGACCTACAAGATCCTTTACATAAAAATAAGGGTAAGAAGCAATTTTATCCATCTCAGAATGTACACCCAATGGATTATTTGATCCATATTGATGCAATGCGGCCAGATGAAGAAGACTGGCGCCTACTAAAATAAGGGGGAGTAAATGATGGAGACTAAAAAAACGATTTAAGGTGGCATTGTCCACGGAGAAACCACCCCAAAGCCAAGTCACTATGGTATCTCCTACTACTGGTATGGCGCTAGCTAAGCTTGTAATTATTGTTGCTCCCCAAAAGCTCATCTGACCCCAAGGTGGTACGTATCCTATAAAAGCTGTCACAATCATTAATAGGAATATGACAACTCCGAGACACCGAACAAATTCCCTAGGACTGCTATAACTCGCATGATATAGACCATGAAAAATATGAAGGTGAACCACAATGAGAAACATACTTGCCCCATTAGCATGCATATAACGGAGCAACCAGCCCCCTTCAACATCTCTCATAATGTGTTCTACGCTGTTGAAAGCTAGATCCACATGAGGTGTGTGATGCATAGCTAAAAAACGCCAGTCACTATCTGAATGACTAAACAAATACCTGCTAACGAACCGAACCCCCACCAATAACTAAGATTGCTCGGGGTTGGATAATCTATCAAATGCTGGTTAAGTGTGGAGTATATAGGTTGTTTAAGAAGAGAGAATCATTGGTTCCTTATAGTCATTTCTCTTTTCTATCGTTACAACTCCTCTTCCCCCTTATTTACCCCCTTGCCTTGATGGAAATTGGCTTCGCTGCGCCCTGAATAATCAAAAAGCTGCATGAGAAGATTCATCCCATTTTGGCGAGAGGGAGGCAACAAATCACCTGGGCTACGGATTTGTCGGTTAGTTGATTCTCGAAATAAGGTCATTCGGAAAAAAAACTGTCGCTTTCTCTGGCGATTTCTTAAGGCTTCAAACAAACGACTAATCATTAAGAAACCCATGAAATCCAAGTCTATTTTTGACCTTTCATGAAGAAGTTTTGCCTGCGCGCAAACTACCTAGCCCTTTTCAAAAGAACATCGATTTCCATCTCAACAAAGAAAGAACTCAAAATAAATGAAAGCAATATTGTTGTCCTATTACTCTTTTTTCCTTGTGGAGCTTTGGAAAGGAGAGATTTGAATAAAGTAACTCTCGGAAACTCTTATTGGACGAGAGAGAGTCAATATGATTTTGGCGTGGGTTCTACCAACTAAACGAAGAAGTTTTTGATTGGATAAACAACGTATAATGATAGACGCTTCTTCGGCACACATGGAGACATACCTCCCATAGCTAACCCCTGAATTCAAGGATACTGCCGGCTTTGTTACTAACTGATAGAAACCCCTTAATACAATGTTCGTTTTTCATAAATGTCATAAGGTAGGTAGACCCGGTCTTGCGCTCGTCCGGTTAAGTGGCACATTGTGCTAAGTGCTCGAACCGTTGGCTGATCTCAGCTGTATCTGAAGGAAATATGCCCTAGAGGCAATAATAAAGTTATTATTTATTTCCTCATATCATGATAAATGTTTATTATTCATGCTAGAATTGTATTAACCGGAAACATGATACATGTGTGAATACATAGACAAACATATAGTCACTAGTATGCCTCTACTTGACTAGCTCATTAATCAAAGATGGTTATGTTTCCTAACCATAGACATGTGTTGTCATTTGATTAATGGGATCACATCATTAGGAGAATGATGTGATTGACATGACCCATTCCGTTAGCCTAGCACTTGATCGTTTAGTATATTGTTATTGCTTTCTTCATGACTTATACATGTTCCTGTAACTATGAGATTATGCAACTCCCGTTTACCGGAGGAACACTTTGGGTGCTACCAAACATCACAACGTAACTGGGTGATTATAAAGGAGTACTACAGGTGTCTCCAAAGGTACATGTTGGGTTGGCGTATTTCGAGATTAGGTTTTGTCACTCCGATTGTCGGTGAGGTATCTCTGGGCCCTCTCGGTAATGCACATCACTATAAGCCTTGCAAGCAATGTAACTAATGAGTTAGTTACGGAATGATGCATTACGTAACGAGTAAAGAGACTTGCCAGTAACGAGATTGAACTAGGTATTGGATACCGACGATCGAATCTCGGGCAAGTAACATACCGATGACAAAGGGAACAACGTATGTTGTTATGTGGTTTGACCGATAAAG